GGGATTTTTTGGGGGTTTTTGGGGTCCCCCCAGGGGGTCTCGGGGAGGGGTTTTGGGGGGATTTTTTGGGGTTTTTTTCTGGGGGGGTTTTGGGGGTTTTTGGGGATTTTTTTGGTTTTTTCAGGAGGGATTTTTGGGTTTTTTTGGGGTTTTTTTGGGGGGATTTTTCGGGATTTTTGGGGTTTTTTTTCAGGGAGGATTTTTGATGTTTTTTGAGGTATTTTGGGGTTTTTTTTGTTTTTTTGGGGGGGGGGAATTTTTCAGGATTTTTTTGGTTTTTTTCAGTGAGGATTTTTGAGGTTTTTTGGGGTTTTTTGGGGGGATTTTTCGGGATTTTTTCTCGGAGATTTTCGGGATTTTTCTTGAAGGATTTTTGGGTTTTTTTCTGGAGGGATTTTTGGGTTTCTTCCGTGGATTTTTTGGGTTTTTTTTTCAGGGATTTTGGAGGTATTTTTTGGGCATATTTGGGATTTTTCACGATGGATTTTTGGGTTTCTTCCGTGGATTTTTGGGGGTTTTGGGAGGGATTTTTTGGGTTTTTCAATGGGAATTTTTTTTGGTTTTTTGGGTGAGAAATGTGGGATTTTTCAGGAACGATTTTTTGGGTTTCTTTCGTGGGTTTTGGGGGTTTTTTCCCAGGGATTTTGGGGATTTTTCATGAAGGATTTTTTGGGTTTTTTTCAGGGATTTGGGGGGTTTTTTTTCAGGGATTTTTGGGGATTTTTCAGGAAGGATTTTTGGGTTTCTTCCCTGAATTTTTTGGGATTTTTTTCAGCTTTTTGGGGAATTTTTGGGTGGGAATTTTGGGATTTTTCAGGAGGGATTTTTGGGGTTTCTTCCGTGGATTTTTGGGGGTTCTTTTTCCAGGGATTTTTGGGGTTTCTTCCGTGGATTTTTTGGGATTTTTTTCAGCTTTTTGGGGAATTTTTGGGCGGGAATTTTGGGATTTTTCAGGAGGGATTTTTGGGGTTTTTTTCCAGGGATTTTTAGGGTTTCTTCCATGGAATTTTTGGGATTTTTTTTCAGTTTTTTCGGGTTTTTCGGTGCCCCCCCCCCGGGGGTTTCATTTTTTTTTGAGAGGTCGAGGTCGAGCCGAGGTCAGAGGTCACGGCGCCGAGGTCGCGGGGTCAGAGGTCGCGGGGTCAGAGGTCACCGGGGGGTGGGGGAGGGGTCCCGGGGGGCTCCTCGACCTCGTGCAGGGACGGCTCCCGGTACAGCGCCACTGCGGGAACCCCAAATTCAGCCCAAATTTCACCAAAATCCCCCCAAATTACAGCCCAAAATCAGCCCAAATTCCACCCCAAATTCCACCCCAAATTTCACCAAAATCCACCCAAATTTCAGCCCAAATTCAGCCCAAATTTCACTGAAATCCACCCAAATTTCAGCCCAAATTTATCCCAAATTTCACTGAAATTCACCCAAATTTCACCCCAAATTTCA